GCTGAAATTGAGTGAGACCGTCGCAGTGCACGGCCTCGGTGGGAATCGCCTCTGTAGACCTCTCATACACGCTCTCGGCCCGGATGGAGGGAGCGTGTGGGTATGATGAAGACACGCGTTATTAATATTTTATCCTTTTTTTTCAGGACGAAACCGTCTCCAAGATTTAGAGCGAATTCAAAGAGTGATGATGAAATTTTAGATTTTAGGGCTTTACAAAGAAATCGATTTAAAAATATTGTTGATTAATTCGTTATTTAAATTATGATTAAGGAAATTATTTTTTTTTATGTTTTAAGGTCATATTACAGTTGTTTTCAAAAAGTTGTGGAAACGATTTCCATATATCCATGTGGGGAATCGAGGAATGTGGAAATTTTATTTAGTAAAAATTAAAAATCCGATTAGAGCGGGTCTTAAAAACTCTGGAAATCGGAGAAATATCGTGAATTCAGCATGGTATAGTGATCTGTATCTTCCACAAATTTTTGAAACCGGCTGTAAGTGGTAAGAATATAAAAATCTTTAAGGCATTTGACAAAGGAAAAATGACGAATATTGTCATGTGATTTTAAGAAGTGTAATACCAATTTTATAATTTTAATACATTCATAATTAGTTAAAATGAGTAAATTTTAAAATGATTAAAAATAAAGATCTTTGTCAAGAATCCTATCTGGAAAATATTCATCACTCATTTTGAATTAGTCCGACCATTGAATAATCTTGTGAATCCAATGAATCCTGCATGTTATCATCGTACAAAGCTTTTAGTTTTTTAACTTTACATATGAGTGACGCCACGGGAAAATGGAATTGGTTATCATTATTATTTAAATAATCAATGTCCCATTTTCCCTTGGCGTCACTCATATACAATAGTACAGTATAAGGTAATATGAGTGCCATCAGGAAAAACCTGTTGGGCCTTCTATATTCTCTAGTTTCCGGTACAAAATAAAATTGAAAGCTCGATGACAGGTTTTCCTTGGCGGTACCTGTATTATCATAACTAGTGATGGGACTTTTTAATTTTTAATTTTTAACTCTAAAATTAAAAATTAAAAATAATTTTTAACGATTTAATAATTAAAATATATCAGAAGTATAGAAGGTATCGATAGAATGATATAATCAGCGATCAATCATAAAACACAGACTAATAAAAATTTTATGCATTCATAAAAATAATAAATAATGGTTTTTATAATGGTTCTTAGGTATTCAAGTAGCTTTTAGAATACCTAGAAACTATTATTTATTAAATAAATGCATAAAATTTTTATTAGTCTGCATGTTTTGTGATTAATCGCTAATTATATCATTCCATCGATACCTTCTATACTTCTGATATATTTTAATTATTAAATCGTTAAAAATTGTTAATTTAATAATTCATTTTTAATTTTTAATCGTTAAAAATTCATAATTATTAATTAAAAAGTCCCATCACTAAATATACGTATCTATTTTTATTTTCATACTATATGTATTTCTTTATCTATTACTCTGATTATAACTATTTTGAGGGGGGGGTTTTTTTTTCAGGATTTAGCTTTAAGGTTAATGAATTGTCAGAATATTGTTCTTTCGGGATTTAAGTGTCGGGATTAAGTCCATCGGGATTTAGTTCTTCGGGATCTAAACGACTTTGATTACTTATGTAAGCTGTATTACGAAAACAATATTGATCAAAAATTTACAGGCAAATTTGCCTGCAAATCTGTTAAAAGGATAATTTCTCAAAGGTAAAAATGAATTAAATAATTTAGTACTATTAATATTTGGCAAGGAACTGCCTAATTGCTTTTTACACGTTTGGTCTAGATATGAAAACTAATTCTGTAATTCTGATCAAAAAAACAACCAGAAAAAGGTCGGTCCGGTCGACCGGCCCGAGCTTTTTTAGGATCTTCGGTCCGCATCGCTAGCATTTATACTAATACGGTAAAAAATTGAGCTAATTGGACGCCTGGGCATATAATTTTATACTGCATGCCCAAATCAAATCAAATAATTGGACGTATGTATAAAATCTTTGACATGTTTGACATGTTTACAATTGTTTAGATATAGAGATATCAAAATGGAGGAACAATTGATTTTATGAGAATAATACCTAAGGCTAAAATTGATATCCATAAATTTTCACACAAAATATTTGCAGAATTTGATTTTGTCACGGATGGAATTGGCAATTTATCACCGCAGAAAATCATCGGTCCTGATCAGGAGGAGTTGGTTCATGAACCTAAATCAGCATAAAGTGAAATTTATCAATTATATATATATATTGTTATTGTAAAAAATAAATTTATTACTTACAACATTGGCGATTTCCAACCAATCTAGGGAGCTTAACAATCTATTGTTTGATGGTAGAGGAACTGTGTCATGTTCCCATACCATGAAAGAATGAAATTTATGAGAAGTTTCCCAACTTCGTGTTTCTTCAATTTCCTCGTTTGTTGTTAATGAACTAGGTTTATTGAGTGTATGTGATGATTCTTTAAATATGCAACCTAGTAAAATTTAATAAAATACATTTAGACAAAAAGCAAATTTATTTTAAGTACGCGTTTTTTTTTTATAATAAAATACCTTCATGTTTATCGTCCAACATGACGCATCTGCCTACAAGGCGACGCCCACGGAAAAATGTTTCGTAAAGAGGTTCTTCTTGAAAAATCGGGTTTACCACGAAATAATTTTCGATATTTGCTCTTCCATTATGATAAATGCTACAAGGTAGTTGATGAATTTGTATTTCTGAGTTATTTGGATTAGTTTCTTGGCCTGAAGGAATTTCGTTCGAAGTAGATTGATCCGGAAAGATATTTATTTCCATAATGAAATGGTCGAGAAAGAAAACCGTTAAACACGAGTATTACCGTGTTTTTTTTTTTATTTCACATGAGTTAATTCTCAATTTTTATTGGTTAACATTACTTAAGTAGATGTTCAAGTAATGTCCGATCCGAATCCAAATACCGGTATTCGATCTTTTTGCTTATCGCAAAGATTCAGATATTTTAATTGCATCACTACCATATTTAATTTATTAATTACATTTTTTAGTGGGTTAAACTATATTTGTGCTTGGATTTTTATTTTTTTGCCAAATCAAAGATAACGATCTACACTAGATTTTATCATCTGTTTGCGAACTTTTAGCAAAGAAAGATGTTAGTGGCTTCATTCCTTTTTTATTAGCTTTAGCCAAGGATGCTTGCCCGACTGTTAATTTACGTTTCTTTATTAAATAGGAAATGTTTGTTAATATACAAACTAAAGGTAATCTAACGAATTTTATGATAATCAATCACCTTTACAGTCGAACTGGTATCTTTTTCAACAGGTTGTTTCACGCGATTATCAGTAGAAATTGCCGACATGTATACGACAGTACTATTATCCCATGTGCCAAGTTCTTCAAAACTAATTCAAAGATAGGTAAGCGTAAATTTATCATTTAATCGAAGAAATCAATACTCACTTGTATTCTTTTTTCAATTGCTCAACCCAATAATTTGGTAGATATTCCATAACAATTTCTAGCGTGTATTTTAATCGATGTTCTGTTTATTTATTAGTCACTCTTTAGTAAATATGTTTCAAATGATTAATAAAACATATATTTAACATTTACCATGTCGGTGTTCTTCGTCGACTATCTCATCATCCAATTGTTGGTTGATTTTTTTAAAAGATTTATATTTATCATTATCAAATTTGGGTAAGATGTTTGTAACCTAATAGCATAAATTGCATAAATAATAATATTCACATTTAAATCAAACATAATTTTACAAGATTAAGAGTTATCATCCTAATACCTTTTTTTTTAACCAATTCATTACTTTTTCGTCATTCAGTCTATAAACTTTGTTGTCCAATAATTCTAAATCATAATAAACATGTATAGATGAATATTTGTCACATACAATAATAACCAATGAAGTAAAGATATACTAACCTTTACTATCGCAAATCCAATCCATATATAATAGAATATTATTTATCGAAGATAATCGCGTTAAACTGGGGTACTCAGGATTATCTAAAATATCGTCAAATGAGAGAAACAGGCCTTGAAACTCTGAATTCTAAATGTTGGAATGCAATCAATTATATAGTAAAGTATAAAAAAAAACAAGAACCTAAATTTGAAAATAATCTACCTTTTTTCGACAATTATCCAGAATTGGTATTAACAAAAATATTGGATCGAATTGAGTAAAAAACACGATGCTACCATCTAATTTTTTTTCAAGTAATAGGTTATTTTTACAAAATATCATGAAGATATTATTATAAAAAGTCATTTCATTTTGAATACCTTTTTCAATTGTGTCTTTAACAAACCAAGATTTTTGCTGTTCATAATCTACACATAATGCTTCATATAAATTCCCGTCTTGAAGAACGTAACGTGCGGGTAACCCTAAATTATAAAGAAAGTATTGTGTATGATACATGCAAGTGTTAGATAACTAGAAAAAGGTAAATTAAATTGTTACCAGTTCGCGGGCGAGGAAGCGTTATCGATATTATGTTACCGCTACCTTCTTGACCTATTAGTATAAAAACGAAAGGAATAACTTATAATAACCAGAATGCTTCAATACAATCATATAATCATATAACAGAATTTACATTTCGGTTTTATACAAATCCGTTGCTTAAACATTCTTGAATTTCAAAAATCGTTGAGACAAATCAGTTATGTTATACGCGTTATTCGTTACGTCATTCGTTACGTCATAGGAGGACATTCGTTTGATTGGCTAATATAATAGATAATCTACTTAGCCCCAGTCATGTATGTCGCAGATTACGTTTTTGATATTTCTATTATGAAAATCGTCATCTTCCACTTCGCTCCGGACAAATATAAACTTTAAACTTAACCTTAGTTTCAACTTTCAATTTTAGAATTAATTAAGGTTATATACGTAGAACACTTTTTTAAAATTGCACATAATTTTAAACAATTATATGTAAAATTCACAATTATATGTAAATTCTACGCTGAACGATTATAAAATTGGTTAATGATAGAGTTCCAACCCAGATTCTATTTATTGACATTTTGTCTAAACGAATTTTTTTGTGAGAATTTTTTTTTTTTTGTCAATTTGGTCTCTTTTAAGCCCATTTTAACTAATCTTCGGATCAATTTTAAAATTGGTTATCCGGGTAACCTAGTGGTTAGCCGGTTAGAGTACCATTATTTTCATCATAGACTAACACTTATATGGGTCGTTTGCTAGGAAAGTCACTGTCTGAAAGCAAGTATTAAATGTGATTTTCCTAGCAAACAACCCATATATTAACAGGATATGATTAGTAAGAAACCGGTTATCATATCGATCGATATGTCATGGTGATGGGAGTCTAAATCTATAATCTTATTCTAATTGCATGAGATTATCATTTAACAGTCAATTATTCTTAAAAATTGCCTTTTTAAATGGCTTTAAACTGGAGAAAAAGTCAAATTAACATGGTTTAGCCGATAAGATTTTTTGCCCAATTATAAGTATCGATATGATGAATTTCCCACGCTACATACATATATAAAATCACTCACGCAGAACAAAAAAGTGCACTACGAAAAAAAGAATTGAAGACGAAAAAAGAATGGAAGACGAAAAAAGGATAGAAGACGAAAAAAGGATAGAAGACGAGACTTCAAAAGAATTACTTCACAAAATCTTAAATTCTGTTGAACTTTTAAAAAAGGAGCAAGACGCGCTCTCTGCAAAGGTATTTATTTTATCACATTAAATAGACGTTATTTTATGATCGCGGTTAAAAAACCCTTTCATTATTAATATAAATGTGTTTATAGGTTGACTCGTACGAAACACAAACCAATGATCAATTTAAAAAGTTACAGGATCAACTGAAACCGAATGACAAGAATGAAAAATCTAAAGTCAAAGGTACCCTATTTATGTTATATTAGTTTTTTTTTTATTTTTAGTTCAAAAAGCTGACAAAGATTACTTACTTTAGAAATCCAGCAACCAAAAGTTACTTCTAAAGGATCTAAAGCATATCCCGATATAGTAATTTTAACAAGTAAGCTCCGTTGTTAATTTCTTTCAATACAATCATACCTGAGTTATATCCCCACTGCCAACCTGAGTTATATTCTCGTTTTTTAGCAGAATAAATGTCCTTTTTTTATATGGCTTGTGTATTGAGTTATATCTCCACCCTGGATGATATAACTCAGGTATGGCTGTATTATGTTTTCGTCCTTTGACCACTTTATCATTATGTAGCGTATCCTGATCAATTTGGTATTAAACCTATACCTCTCGAATGGGGCGAAAGTGATCCAAACGTTCGTGGACCAGTCTTAGCATCCCGTCATCCTTCAAGTATTAAAGTTCGGTATGTAATAATTGAAACTTTCCAGAATTGGTCAAATCACTGATCGGCAACAAATTTACTGATCGTTGTTAATCAAGTTGTTCTGGTCAAATTTGTCAAAATAGCCTGGTCTACTAACTATACTGTATTTACTTTGACCAATTTGACCAGTGTTAAACTCTTTCACCAATCTGAGTGGTCTGCGCTAGTGATATGAATCGAAAATGGTTAATTGGCTGAGTGACAACTAATCGACTAATAATTTAACCCAATTATTAATCGATTAACCGGTTAGTTGGCTGAGTTGACAACTAATCGATTAATAATTTTAACCCAATTATTAATCGATTAATTGATTAGTTGCTTTTACATTATCGCGGTTTTCGAAATAGTTGAAAATGGGTAAAAAAATTTTTTTCGAGTATACTCGTATACCTGAAGATAGGGATGGCAAATGATTTAAAACATGATCTTAAAAAACATGTTTGTTTAGTTTAAAATAGTTTTTAATACATTTTAAAACATTTGACGTAATGAATTTGTTTTAAAACGTTTTTGTGTTTTATGTAAATCACAATGAATAATGTTATTAGAATGAATTAATTGAAGATCGAAGGTTTTTTACCATCCCTATCTGAAGATTGATCTTTAAGGTAATCCGGTATAGAGTATAAATCCGGATTTATTTATATCCGGATTTAAAAACATATCACATGACATAGTATATATCCGGATATATAAATCCCGGATAGAGATAAGAGTATACTGGAGAATTTTTTTTTTTTTTTTTTTCTCATTTCTACCATTTCGAAAACCGCGATTATTAGCTTTTAATAAAATTTTTATCAGATTTATATTCATAAATTAGATCAACTAAACAACTAACAGTTAATCGATTAGTTAGCAATAATCGATTTGTAATCGATTTTTAAAAAATTTTCAACTAATCGATTACATTTTTTTACACTGATTCATAACACTAGTCTCGCAAGCCTTAGTCATTAATCTTTTTAAATTCTTGCATAAAAATTTTTAACATTTAATTAATATATAGTAATGCAATTGGCGCATATGGTGGTTCCTACTGTGTTTATCGAGCATTGGCAGTTGCTATGGGTGCACTTGATCCTCAACATCGTCCTGATTTTCAAAATACGGAACCTACAGTCACAATAGGACCTCATCCCCAATGGGGAATGCCTGACAAAATTGTTTCACTTGATCCTTTTGGTCATCTCACTACTACTTTGTTTGACAGTCAAATCGCTCAGGGATTGGACATTCGTCCTACAATTGCAATCACTAAAGCTCACATGAAAGTAGCTGAAATTGAAAACCTTGTAAAGGATGGAAGATTAAAAGTTGACGGAAATGTTGTGTTGAATGATTCTGGTGAATTAAATGTTGTAAAAGCTGCTGTTGAACCTGTTTGGTATTTACCCGGTGTCGCATCAAGATTTGAAATTGATGAGGGAACTTTACGTCGTGCACTTTTTGAAGACACAGGTGGCATGTATCCAGAATTGATAACTCGTCCAGACCTAAAAGTATTTTTACCTCCAATTGGTGGGCTATCTGTATACATATTTGGTAATCCTGCTTTTATTAGCGATCCATCAAAACGATTGACGGTGAGAGTACATGACGAATGTAATGGCTCTGACGTTTTTGGATCTGACATTTGTACATGTAGACCATATTTGATATATGGTATGGAAGAAAGCGTTAGAGAAGCTCAGAATGGTGGTGCCGGCGTTGTTGTTTATTGTAAGTAAGGTTCAAGCGTTATTTATGAAATTAATAATAATATACACTAATAATATACTTATTACAACAACAGTCCGTAAAGAAGGTCGTGCCCTTGGTGAGGTAATCAAATATCTTGTATATAATGCACGCAAACGTTCAGCCGGTGGTGATACAGCAGATAATTACTTCTTACGTACTGGTAATATATATTTATCAACTAATTTAATCATGATAAAGATCATAAACATTTGAATATTAGTACATTAATATATATATATATATATATATTTTGAATTACAGAAAATGTTGCTGGTGTTAAAGATATGCGATTTCAAGCTTTGATGCCGGATGTTCTGCACTGGCTTGGCATTACTAAGATTGACAGAATGATGTCAATGTCTAACATGAAATATGATGCCATCGTTGGATCTGGAATATCTATTTATGAACGTGTACCAATTCCAGATGAATTGATACCACAAGATTCTCGGTTTGTATCATAATTTTTTTATCATTTATCTCATTTTTTTCAGACTACAATACTGAAACTATTGTAAATTTTTAGTGTTGAAATTGACGCTAAAATCGCAGAAGGATATTTTAGCACCAAAAAAGCACCCACAAAGGAAGAGCTTTCACAAGTCAAAGGTCGAGGGTGGGATGACATTCAACATTGAACATTCTTCTTTCTCAAATAGAAATTTTACATATATTGACCGAAATTTAACGTTAATACCATTAATGCAAAGCTGTATTATTAATATTTTCTGTAATTTTTTATAATTATAGCATTCTTGAAATTTAAGATTAAATATAATTTATGATGCACACACCATGTTCTTTAAAGTTCCAATTCTGATTAAAATCAGCAATTTTTTTTTTTTTTTTTGAACTAATCTTGAATCAAGAAAAAAAAAGAAAATCAAATAAAGCTAAACAAGACTTTTATTCAGTCACTATATAAAAAAATAATGAAACATATCTATATTCTTTAACGAACATATTCGATTCAGTCTTGGTCGGGTACACCATATCGACTATAGGTCAACATATAAAAAATAGTAAATAAATTTAACAATATAAAATCAAATGACAACAGAGGAATAGTTTACCTTTTCAACTCTTTTAATTCTTCTTCCTTCTTTTGTAGGTTCATCTTTTTCGTAACTTTATTAGGTTGATAGTATAATACGATAAGATATCTACCCATAACGTTAAATCCATTAAGGTGATCACAGGCAGCTTTAGCATCGAATATGTCTAGTAAAATGGTAAAAGTGAGTGATGTATATACATATTGTTGGATTAAGACTATGAAAATTACCTTCATAAACTACAAAAGCAGTCCCACGTGTATCTTTTTCTCCCCTAATACATTAAAAAGAATATATCAAGATAAATAGATCATAATAGATTAAAAATTTCAAAAAAAAATCTTACAATCTGATCTGTCGTATAGCACCATATTTTCCAAAAATATCGTACATTTCTTCGGATGTAATATTGAATGGAAGATTCCGAACGAACAGAACACGATTTACTTCAGGTGGTAACCGGGCCTAAATGAAAAGGATCGAAAAAATATAGACGTTAAAATAAAAATTCTGGTCTATTCGAAAGTGTATAATTATGTACTTTAACTTACATTCCGGTTTTTTGCAGAAGCTGCCATCGCCATTTTGACTAAGATCTTTCTTGTAAATTCACGGATAAAAAAAGTCCTTTATATATCTTCAATATTAAAATTAAAACGGTGTAATAAGTGTTATATGAAGCTCTAGGAACACTGCATGCACGTGATAATACAGCCGGCATTAATATAACATGACAGCATTAGGGCTGGAATTAGTGGACCGGGCCGCATATAACATAGCAATTATGAGGTTTTTTTTTTCTGAATGTTGGTTTTGAAATAGATATGCTTATAAAGTGAATTTTTATATGGAGTGTGACTATAGAAAGGTTTGACATACTCCATTGTCTCATACACATTTATACCGAATTTATGCCGTACAGTATTATGTATTTATCAAATCTTGCCTGATCCTAAACGTTTATGTGAAATTTGTCTTTCGGAAAAAAAAAATCATTTAAACCTTTTATTACCTGGCTTTTAAAACTTTTGAGTAATAGTAACATGTACTGCAAAAAGGCCAACTCTAGAATAGCACAAAAACAGTTTGAATTAATTACTGCGTGTAATGCACTTTTCCTTGTCAAGCGAAATTTTGATTTACATAACGATCTTTTTAACCTTTATCTACTGAAGAGCATGTTGTGTAAAATTAAAATAGTGTCATATAATTCATAAGAATAATTTGTGGAAATAAAACTTATAATGTGCTAACGAAATCAAATTTAATACTTGTAAAATATTTAATTTCGATCACTTCTATCTAGTAACCCACTAACATCATTAGAACCTGTTCTGTCGCATGAACTTCTATAACTTTACTGCTCCACTTATTCAGCAAATTAAAAAAGAATAGCTTTTAAAAGTTGATACACCTAACCTTTATGCACCATAAATAAACCTTATTATTAGTATTGATGATTATTATTTATAATAAAATTTAACATATTAAAACTAAGACAATACTATAACGATAATCTTTCACCTTATACTCGTAGAACTTCATAATTTTGACGAATAACGATAAAATCTGAGATCTAACCTAACGCTAAAAGACCAAAAGCTCCTTTGCATTACCGGTAGTATAATTGTAATCTTTTAACTCCAACGCATAGATGAAATTTTTTTTATAAATAACCGAATTTTTTTTTTTTTTTTTTTTAGCCAGAGGAAACCTTCAAAAGGCGAATGTAGAGGGGTTACCCCCACAGACAGTGTGAGATTCTTACTCACTAAAACCTCTGAGTAGATGTTTTAATGCCTATAACCTGGCTTATAGAATCAAAACATTTACAAAATACCGTAACCCTGACAAGATTTCGCTACAAAAAAAGAGTTAAAACCAAACGTATACTTACACTTATCAGAGTTAAAAGGGACCCCGCCAGGAGGGAATGAGGTTGGTGTCTTACCCGACACGAGCGAAGTAAGAACCAGAGTATAAATGAAAGAAACCCTATTGGGAATCTTCCAAAACGGACAAAAAGTTAAAACGGGCATAGCAACTGAACACAAGTGTATAAAGAACGAAACACCTATCTTAAAAGATATTCATAGACGTGTAAGATGTATAAGAAAAAGATATTCGTAAACGTGTGTAAGATGTATAACAGATAAGAAAAAGATATTCGTAAACGTGTAAGATGTATAAGAAAAAGATCTAACTCGGAAGGTTGAAAAAAAAAGTATGAGAAAATTGGAAGGTTTATATAATTTTTATTCCAGATAGGAAAGTTCGCGTTTTTTATTCCCATCATTTATTAGCGGAATTTAGACACGCGTTAAGCGATTTTTTTGGGTTTGTATCGCTCGCACAAATCACATGAAATTTGTGATTGGACAGTTGAGAATTCCTTTTTGGGTTTGTATTATCAAATAAGTAAATCTACCGTACGTCAGGGACCCATAAAAATTTCGAAATCAAATTTTCATTATATAAAATCGAAATTTTTGCTATAAAATTTGTATCATGTGATATAAA